GAAAATGATGTTGAATGTATTTTATGTTGCTTTATTCCACTATTTAAAGACATGTGTGTGACAACCTACATAACGTAACTCCATAAGTAATGAAGTGAGTATCGTCTCATGACACCTGTCAACGTCCAAGTGTCATATTGTCATGTCATAGAACTACTAAAATGTCAAGTATATGACACAGCCAATGCATTGCATTTACATGTAATACATCCGAACTTGGAATATTTTTAAAATTGCAAACCTTAACGGTTTGCAAGCTTTTGATGGTCTTTATCTGCCACGGTTTGCAAGTAGGTCAGTGATCAGTTTGCAAATCTCTCCGGGTCTATTTTAAAATTCCTGGTTTTATTAGGATAATAAGTGTGCACTATCTTCTACTGTATTTGTGCTAATTGGTGATGTGTACCCATATGTTTGGTGGAATTTGGTAACCAATATTTTATTATTTTTATTTATATAATTTTAATATTGTTATTTGTAATATATTTTTAAAACTATTTCTTCCCATGCTTGACTCTATTCACATCCATATTATATTTAGTAAGTTACATGTATACATTTGTTCTCACTTTTTTACGATTACCTGTGTCTAAGTCACAAATAAAACAATACAAAAGGGCCGTTAGACCCCGACTAAAAGAATGTGGTGGCTGACATACTATCCTCGTGTGTGCTCCCTATTCAGAAATATGTTACCTACATCCCTTCGTTACCTTCAACTTCGACCAGCGAACAGTGCATTTCCTACTCTTGGCAACGCTGGTTCGATTCCACTAAGACAACTTTTCCAGCATTCAAGAGCGGCAGTACCACCACGGTACCGCTGAAAGTACAACGTGAAATAAGGTGCGTCGATTTCGGTATTTTTGTGGGTGCCGGGTCATTATGTGATTTAGCTAACGATTAGGATTAATTTGCCTATTTTCTAGGCGAGGTTTGAATTACAGAGAAGGTATGTCCAAAATATATATTTCTTCTATTTGTAGAATAAATATATCCACAATTGTAACATTTACAAGTATTTGTTTATAAAACAAATCGCATTTTTGCATTTATTCACGGGTATTTCGAATTATTCAAGTTGCGGATAGTAAAACAAAAATTGGGCAATTGACCAAACAAGTACAAGTACATTAGAATTTTACTAATTTTAAATTTCATAAATTAAATTCCATTTATTATTAATATTTATTAAATTAACTACATCAAATATTTCGCTGGCTATGCATATTTTCCAAGTGACTTTTTTGACTTTTAGTTTATGTGGTATTACATTTAGAAATAATATAGTATTTTGTTTGATACCAGCAGTTAACAAGGAAAGAAAAATAGTTATAGGCTTTTATTTACTATGCCTTAACTTCTTCTTCTTAAAGTGCCCTCTCCTCAATGGAGGTTGGCTACTACAATTTTAAACTTTTCTCTATCTTCAGCTGTTCTTATTAGCTGTTCAAAATTTAGCCTTGTCTATTGTCGGATGTTTCTGAGCCACGATAGTCTTTTCCTTCCTAGGCCTCTCTTTCCCTCGATTTTTCTTTTCACTATAAGTTGGGCATATTGGTACTTATTATTTCTCAGTATGTGGCCTAGGTATGATGTTTTTCTAACTTTTACTGTGTTAAAAAGTTCTCTTTCTTTGCCTATTCTATGCAGCACTTCTTCGTTTGAGTTATGCGATGTCCATGAAATTTTGAGTATTCTCCGGTAGATCCACATTTCAAAGGCCTCCAATTTATTTACGGTTGATGTTTTAAGGGTCCACGTTTCAACTGCATATAGAAGAGTCGATCAGACGTAGCATTTTGATAAACGTAGTCGAATTTCGAGTTTTATTCGAGAATCACAAAGCAGTTTTTTTTATTTTTTCAAAAGATTTTCTGGCCTGTTCTATTCTCGATATTATTTCTAGATCAGGATTTGGGCTGCTATCGATCCAACATCCAGGTACTTAAATCTATTGACCTGTTCTAAAATGTGCCCATGATTGTACAAGGTTGAGGTACGTTTTGGTTTTTTTCTGATTGACATCACTTTGGTTTTTTTAATGTTTATTTTCATACCAAATTGCTAACAGGTCGAATTGGTCTTGTCGATTAGTCGTTGTAGACCTGAGTCGGAATCCGAAATTAACACTGTATCATCGGCGTATCTGATACTGTTGATATTTACGCCATTCACATTGACTCCATCCTTGGAATCCTCCAATGCTTCTTTAAATAGAAACTCGGAGTAAAGATTAAACAGCAGAGGCGACAGAACACATCCTTGTCTAACTCCCCTCCCTATTTCTACTTCTGCGGATGTGGAACCTTCGATCCTAACTCTGGAGTTTCGTTTCCAGTACAAGTTTTTTAAGAATTTGATGTCTTTTCCATCTAAATCGACTTCTTGCACACGTTCTAATAGTAGGTCGTGCCTTACTCTATCAAATGCTTTTTCGAAGTCTATAAAGCATATAAATATATCTTTTTGTTGGTCGTAGCATTTTTGGGCGAGAACTAGTAAACTGAACAGGGATTCTCTCATTCCTATGCCGTCTCTGAATCCAAACTGATCGTCTCCGATGATTGTTTCTCACTTTCTATAGATACGATTATGTACGATTTTTAGTAGGACTTTTACTGCATGACTCATAAGCCTTATCAGACGGAACTCATTGCAGTGTTGTGGGTTTGGCTTTTTTGGTAGTGGGATGAATATTGACTCCAGCCAATCTTGGGGTATTTTACCTGTATCATAAATGCGATTGAATAAAAGGACAAATATTTCGATATTTTCTTCGCTGATTAATTTTAACGTTTCTGGGTATATTCCGTCTGGACTGGGCTTTTATTTGTTTTGAGATTATTAATTGCATTTATAATTTCAGATTTCAGAATTTTTGGCCCTTCGTTGTTATTATCCAATCTTCCAAATTTTTGTTTAATTCTTTATTTACTGTCTGATGTATGGTGTCGTTTTTCAATAATTGGATGATAATTGGATAAGGTATATTCTATAAAGTTCGAAAATGGATCCTCTTTTTCACACTCCATTGTCATTAAGTGCTCCACAAATTCGCCTTAGTACTTTTCTTTCGAAATATGTTTTCATTATTTTTTGTTAGAGTCCAGGTCTCTGAACCATATGTTAGGACTGTGCGTAATATTGTTTTATAGAGTTGTATTTTTGTATTTTTCGATAATATTGTGGATTTAACGAGGAGATTGAGTCCAAAGTAGCATCTATTGTCCGTGCAAATTCTGCGGTAGTATTATTTTCAATGTTTAGGAGCGCTCCCAGGTTTACAAATTCGGTCACTGCTTCGATGACGTCGTTTTCTATAACAAGTGATTGTAGGAGTTGTGGATGCGTGCTTATTTTCATACACTCCGTTTTGTTGGTGTTTATTATTAAACCAATTGTTGTAGCTGATTCTTTTAATGTTACATACGCCTTTAGTGCAGTGTTTTCCGTTTTCCCAACAATATTGACATCATCAGCATAGGCAATGATTTGCACGGATTTATTATATATTGAACCAGTGGTTATGATTTGTGACATACGTGTTAGGTACTTTTTCAATAGCCAAATTGATCAGTATACATGAGAAAAGGTCTCCCTATCGCAGCCCGTTATTTGTTTTAAAATATTTAGACAATTCCCCTCCCTCCCCACTCCACTTTTCCATGAAAAAGTTACCGTTTTTCGGTTATTTAACATCATATGTGTGGATTTTTATATTCGATCAATAAAAGTATACTTTCGAACAACCATAACTTGGTTAAAAAGATGTGTTTTGTGAACTTTTACTCAATAACTCCAAAAATAGTGACTTTTCGAAAAAATTGTCTTAGGTGTTTTTTCTTTCAGATTGTGTGATTAAAAGATCCCGCCGCTTTACTTGTTTTTAAGCTTTGTTGTCGTACTTCTTCAACATCTCCGTAAAATGGAACTATGACATAGGGAAACAAGCCGGTACAATATGGCACAGAAAGGCGAATATTAGTCAATGGGTAGTGGGTAGAAATGAAAAACGACTATGTAAGGCAGGCTGCACAATAATCGGTAGAATACGCTGAGAATGATGATGATTATTCCTAATCGAGTTATTATGTCTATCACATTTTATTGCATCCTCTACTCATTACCATTAGCCAATGCGTTTGCAAGATGTTTTCGACTAATTAGATTGTTCACTTTCATTAATTTATTTGCTTATTATAAACAAATAAGATTTAAAAAACTAATTTCAAGGATTATACTTCCCGTTGATAAAAAAAGGCAGTAAAAATAACATATAACATATTCGCGGTAAATTAACGTCAATAGCAGACCTTCCGGGTCATAAACGACACTATTGCATCTATAACGAATTTACTTTATTTACTACAATTATAATTATACGGTGTATGAACACAGAACGTTAAAAATTGTAATGAATGGTACTATAACCGTTCTAGTCTGTCAATAACCTACTCATACATCCCTTGCTGGAGACCTCGCGCTAACGGCTAAATATAAGATATTTAACCACCCTCAAACAGTAGGTATATAGTAACGTTTCTAGTATAAAAACTAGATACTGTTTATTTTTATTCTACAAGGAATATTCTGTTATTAGTAGACTGTTTCTTTACTTACGTGAATCTCACTTTCTTCTGGTGAAGTAATTTTGTCTCTCATCAACAAATCCATTTGTAATGAATATTTAAGTTTGTTTAGTCTATTTTGTGCCAAATTTCTAGTAATTACAGAAGGAGGTATTATTCTGTCACAATTCCGCTTTGCTGTACAGCTGTCGTTTGTAGTATCTGAATTCTTTCGTTTTTGGGCTTGTCTCTTCGGACTGTCAGGAACGTTTTTAGAACAGGAAGCTCCATAATTCACATTTGATAAATTTGGTGCAAGTTTAACTCTTTTTTGATTACTAGACATAACAAGTTATATATATTATGTAAAAATGTTACATTAATATTAATTACATTAATTACATTTTTACATAATATATATAACTTGTTATGTCTAGTAATCAAAAAAGAGTTAAACTTGCACCAAATTTATCAAATGTGAATTATGGAGCTTCCTGTTCTAAAAACGTTCCTGACAGTCCGAAGAGACAAGCCCAAAAACGAAAGAATTCAGATACTACAAACGACAGCTGTACAGCAAAGCGGAATTGTGACAGAATAATACCTCCTCCTGTAATTACTAGAAATTTGGCACAAAATAGATTAAACAAACTTAAATATTCATTACAAATGGATTTGTTGATAAGAGACAAAATTACTTCACCAGAAGAAAGTGAGATTCACGTAAGTAAAGAAAAACCAGAAGTTCTAAATCATAAGGATAACGAAAAGGCAAATAGTGGTGAAAAACGAAAATCAAATGACTCATGTGAGAAATTAATTACGAAGAAGTTTATATGTGACCCATGCTTCAAAACTGATTTAATTAGTAGACTTATACAAATATGCAAAAAAGGTGAAAAATATGCGCAGAAATATGCATTAATTTACCCAAAAATATGGATTGAATATGCATTTCTTTTAGAAAATATGCATATATGTACTGTCTATTGAAACATACAGTGCTAGTCAAAAGTCTGTTCCCTCTAGTATCTTTTGAACGTTTATCCTTATAATAGTGAAATCTGGAGGGAGGTAATAAACAGACGTAAGCTTCTCAACTAGTCATAACAGGTGACTTAATAGTAACAGATGACGTTACAGCGCCACTGTAAGAGATAATTTTAAATAGGACCGTATGGCCAATTTATAGTGATACCTCGTTTGAGAGCTATTGAAAATACCTTCTATTCTTCTTCTTCTTCAGCCTTCATTTATCCTTTGTTGGACATAGGCCTCCTCCAATTGCTTCCACCAGTAGCGCACCTAGAATTTTTTTTCTGGAGGGGAGGTTTGGTTAGGCACCGAAATTTTTCACCATTTTAAGTCCTTAAAATTTGTGAATAACAGTGTTGGAATAGGGTCCTGGGGGATGTTTAACCGCCAAAGCCCCCCCCCGGGTGCGCCACTGGCTTCCACGCTTTCCTATCTTTTGCAATTCTCATCCACTGCTTTCCAGCTACAGCTGTTATATCGCCTATCAATCTCTTTTTTGGGTCTTCCCACGCTTCTTTTTGATTCTCGACGTCTCCAGAATGTCACTTTGAGACCATCTGTTGGTGTCCTGTCTTGCTACATGTGCTACCCATTGCCATCTCAATGTCGCTATGTTTCCCATGACATCGGTTACTTTAGTTCTTCGACGTATTTCGGTGTTAGGAATTTTGTCTCTGAGGCTTATATTTAACATGGCCCACTCCATGGACCGTTGAGTTATTCTTAATTGTTCTGCTATTTTTTTTTGTTATTGCCATAGTTTCCAATTCATAAGTTGCAACTGGTAGTATACAAGTTTCATAGGTTTTTTATTTTAAGTGTATTGGGATTTTTCTGTCTTTTAAAATGAAGCTCAACTTACCAAAAGCAGCCCATGACAATTGTGTCCTTCTTTTAATTTCTAGGGTTTGATTATCCTTTTCGTTTTTAATTGCAACTCCTATATACATATATATATATACATATATATATATATATATATATATATATATATATATTATATATATATATATAAGAAAAAAGAAGTACTTGTGACTCGTTTGGAAAAAATATAACACTGTTTTTGATGGGTTGGAGTCAATAAAAGGGGCTATTTGTTGACTATTTTTTACTCGAGCTTTCAATTGTGATTACAATTCTTATCAAGAGCTTCTAAAAAATACAAAATGTCTTACAAAGTTGAACTAGAAATAAAAAATTTTTTGTTAACTCACCAAATAAAATTAGTTTTTTATATAAAACTACTGCTTACATAATAAATACAAAAAATATTAATAAAAAAAATGCCTTATTCTAATAAATGTTTCTCTGAAAAATTTAGATGAAGTTTCTTAAGAAAAAAATTGAATTTATAAACAAAAATAGAATAGCTACAACCAGCCTAAAATGACATAAATACTAACTTAAAAATTTTTATTTTTGACATATTGTAAAAAATAAAATTTTGTTTAAAAAATTCTTCTTTGTTAAGTAACAAAAAAGAAGAAGATTTATTCACCATTGATAGATGCCCGAAAAAAACACTGTATCCAACAATCAAAACATATATTATCATTCACTACCTTTTATACCATCATTAACTCCTAAATTAATACAAACATTAAAGGTTATTGACATATAAAAAATAGCAACAAAGAACATCAAAACTATTTCATCTTTATATTCCAAAACTAAATATCCTATAGACAAATTAGATCAAACAAATGTAGTATACAGCATTGTTTGTACTCAGTGTGAAGCTGAGTATATGGTGAGACTGGAAGAAATCTCTCAAATCGCATTATTTCTCACAAGAGTGATTGTAGAATTAAGAAACCATCTTGTGCTTTGGCAGAGCATGTAATAGACAAAGACCATATTATGGATTTTGATAATATTAAAATTTTATGTAATGAAAGTAATAAATTTAAAAGAACTTTTTTGGAAATGGTTTGTATTAGCAAAAGTAATAATAATTTAAACAAAAGGTCAGAAATTCAAAATTTAAGCAAAATTTATAATTATATAATTTCTATTTAATTTATGCAGTCAGTAAAATATCACATTTTAAATTTTCCATGTATTTGTTACATTTTTTCGGGCATCTATCAATGGTGAATAAATCTTCTTCTTTTTTGTTACTTAACAAAGAAGAATTTTTTAAACAAAATTTTATTTTTGACAATATGTCAAAAATAAAAATTTTTAAGTTAGTATTTATGTCATTTTAGGCTGGTTGTAGCTATTCTATTTTTGTTTATAAATTCAATTTTTTTTTCTTAAGAAACTTCATCTAAATTTTTCAGAGAAACATTTATTAGAATAAGGCATTTTTTTATTAATATTTTTTGTATTTATTATGTAAGCAGTAGTTTTATATAAAAAACTAATTTTATTTGGTGAGTTAACAAAAAATTTTTTATTTCTAGTTCAACTTTGTAAGACATTTTGTATTTTTTAGAAGCTCTTGATAAAAATTGTAATCACAATTGAAAGCTCGAGTAAAAAATAGTCAACAAATAGCCCCTTTTATTGACTCCAACCCATCAAAAACAGTGTTATATATATATATATATATATATATATATATATATATATTATATATTTATATATATATATATATATATTTATATATATATATATATATATTATATATATATATATATATATATATATATATATTGTTCTACCTTTTCTATATTGATGTTTTCTATCGTAATGTTTTCTAGGCTGTTGCTTAATATCTTTGTTTTGTCGAGATTCATTTTTAATCCTACTTGATGCGATTTGTGATTGAAATGTTGTAGCATTGATTTTAGTTCATGGATATCTGTGCTTATTAGTACTATGTCGTCTGCGAAACGCAAGTGGTTAAGATATACGCCATCTATTTGTAATCCATTTTCGACCCAATTTAGTTTTTTGAAGACATTTTCTAATGCCAAAGTAAATAACTTGGGTGATATGGTGGTACCCTGTCTCACACCTTTGCCAAGGTCTATTTTCATACGTTCCAGTTCATCATCTATTTTTACGTCAAAAGTAGCATCATCGTATGTATTCTTAAGGAGGATTCTCTGGCGTCGTTCAATGATGTTAAGAAAGCCCATTTCTCGATGCTGTCGAATGCTTTGTGATAATTGACAAATGCCAGATGGAGTGGTATGTTGTACTCTATTGTTTTTTCAACAACTGTCCGAAATGTTTGCAAGTGATCGATACTGCTAAAACCCTTACGAAAGCCTGTTTGTTCCACTGGTTGGTAAGCATCTAGCTTAGCTGTCAGTCTATTTGTTATTATTCGGGTTAGTAGTTTGTAAAGGTGTGACAATAAGCTTATTGGTTGGTAGTTTTTTATATTTGCGGCGTCCCTTCAATATATTCCTGCAATATATTTATACATAAATTGAAAATACCTACTCATTCATAATAATTTTTGAATGAGTTTAAGCTCATTTTAATGAATAAATTAAATAAATACTAAAATTGTAGCTTCTCCTTTAATTAATAAATATTTAACAACCAGTTCTTATAAGAAGTGTTCAAAATGTGCTCCATCTACTTCCTGACAGTAATGCATCCTATTTCTAATCTCTTGCCGTATTTGTTTAAATGTGTCGGGGCGAAATTGCCCTACATTCTTTAACAATTCGTTGTTTCAAAATGTAAATATTGTCGGGTGCTGTAGCGTAAACTTTGGATTTCAAGTATCTCCACAGAAAAAAATCTAATGGTATGAGGTCCTGTGATCCAGCTGGCCATTCTATCGTACCTCGTCGTCCAATCCATCTACCACGATATTCCTCATCTAGGTAACGTCTTACTGCACCATCTTGTTGAAACCGAGACTCGTCTCGGAGACTAGGAGTATAGATCGGTAACCGAGATGCCTAAGCATCCCGAGTGCGTTTCTACAAACCGGACACCCAAACGACGGCTCTCCTCTCAGTACCTTCCTATTAGTCGCCTCTTACAACGGGCAGGGTCTTCTGGTCTCGACCGTATTCTTATCTTCGCGAGCCGAACAGAGAAGAACAAGACACAGACATACTTGTAAAATTTTCTAGTAGAAAACCTATTGGAGGAAGACCGAAAGCGAGAAATTAAAAAGTTTTAAAATAGCATTACGGCCAGTGAATATTGTTGATTGGAGGAGTAACAAGTAACGCAGTGCAAAAAAGATATAGAATCATGTACAATATGTGAACATAAAATGCGGAACATTTCATGTACTAACGCTCCCTAAATATTTAAAAAACACGAAATAACCGTTTTATAAATTAAAAGTCGGTCAAAAGGAGGACACATCTTTTGTTACTAATTATCTCAACTTCGCACTCAGCTGTTTATTACATATGCATACAACTTTTGTATTACTTATTATACCAGTTTTTTATTGAAACCAGTCGGAAGCCAGTATAATCCGTTAGGAATTGCGTGTAAATAACCTGAGGATTTAATTCTATTTATAAAATGGTGAGGTTGTTTTTGATAAGTTTAATGATAAATAATATAAAAATTCGTTGATTGAAATATTTTTTAACAGTATCCGTTAAGATTTCTTATTCTTGGGATATTTCTAGTTTTTGTTGTTTGTTGCTTTTTTTACAGATTCTGCTTTAGTTATATATTTGATTTTGTCGTGGTACCATTCATCATCATCATCATCATCATCAACTACCCTAGCCTCTAACTATCGAGGATGTACT